TGTGGCTCATCCTCTCACAATGACGTACAGTGGGGGCAGTCCACGCAGAAAAGCTCTGATTTTTGGACCCTGAGTAACTTTATTCAATTGCATGACTCTATGGTTGTAGATAGGTATGTATAGGCAAATGATTTGTTGATATGTTCTTCCTGGTCGAGGGAAATGTATTGCCGCTTTTGGACTTGGGTGGGGTGTGTAGTTAGGAGCAACACTGCCTCTTCCACCCTACGCCCCTGTCAATTTCAGCTTGGAAAAATGTGTTTGATTTCGAAATGTCCAAATTAACCAGCTTAAGTTCGAATAACGTGCGTGATAAGCGAGTGAAACGGATAAGCGAGTGAAACACGCCCCACGGCATTGCGCACCTTCCATCTTCAACTACAAATTTGTCCACGTTTAATAATGGACCAACCTTCGTACGAAAGCAGGCTTTTTCTTGCCGTAGCAGCTCTCAAAAACGATAATAATCTTGGCCTTAGAGCTGCAGCAAAGATCTACGGTGTTGATCCTGCAACACTAATGCGTCGACGCGATGGCAAACCTGCACGACGCGATATTCCAGCCAATTCGCGCAAGTTTACGGATCTAGAGGAAAAAACGATTGTTTAATATTGAGCTATGTACACGCGCATTTCATCCCCGGCTTGCGTATGTGGAAGATATGGCCAATCGATTGCTACGATGTCTACAACTTCGACGAGACTGGGTTTATGATGGGTATTATCTTCGAGGGCATGGTAGTTACAACATCTGATGGCCGTGGCAAGGCCAAACAGGTCCAGCCTGGCAATCGTGAGTGGGCTACGGTTATTCAGGGCGTAAATGCTCTGGGTTGGGCTATCCCACCATTCATTATCTTGGGCGGGCAATATCACCTCGCCAATTGGTATCAAGAGTGCAGCCTTCCGGCCACCTGGCGTATTGCAACAACCGATAATGGCTGGACTACCAATGAGAAAGGCATGGATTAGATTCTTCACTTCGATTTCTACACGGCATCTCGTACGAAGGGCAAATATCGGCTATTAATCCTTGACGGCCACGAGAGCCACCACTCCGAAGAATTCGAAACCTATTACCGGGAGCACAACATTATTACACTATATATACCTCCGCACTCCTCCCATATACTTCAGTCATTGGATATGGCTGTTTTGCGCCATTAAAGAAGGCGTACAGCCGCCAGATTGAGCAGTTGATGCGGATAAACATCATACACATTAGCAAGTTGGAGTTTCTTTGTGCGTTTAGAGAAGCATTTTTTGCTTCGATCACAGAAAAGAATATCCAGGGTGGTTTTGCCGGAGCCGGCCTTGTGCCGTACGACCCAGAGAGGGTGATATCTAAGCTAGATGTGCGCATTCGGACTCCAACACCCCCAGCCTCGAGCCCAACCACGGCACTACCTTGGGTCTCTCAAACGCCACACAACCCTCGGGAGGCTACCTTACAGTCAGCGCTTATTAAAACTCGAATTTCCAACCATCAAGGCAGCTCTCCAACCTCAATACTAGCCGCTGTAGACCAATTTACTAAGGGAGCAATGGGTATAATGCACGAGGTGGCTCTTCTCCGTGCAGAGGTCTCTTCGCTACGCAAGGCCAATGAGGAGCTTCGTAAGAGACGGAGAGCCAAAAAAACACGTGTGCGGCTTAGAGGGTCACTTACTATACAAGAGGCACAGGATCTACTGGATCAGAAGGTTGTGGGTGAGCAGGTAGCCCAGGAAACACGACAAAATAGTGGTGGTGCAGGGGGGTCTCGTACGAAGATTCGGTGCTGTGGTGTGTGCGGTAAGCCAGGCCATAATGCACGCACCTGCAGGAGGCTGCAGAATCGTCTGATTCATCTGTTTCTGATTCAGTTAACGTACATTATAAGCGAGCGACCAATATAAGCGAGCGACCACTTTTTCACAACCTTTATACCATTATCCTCAATTACTACACAACAATACTAGGAAGCAACCATAATTACATCAGAAACAGCTGAATCAGATGCTTCTGCAGCCTCCTGGCAAGTGCGCGCATTATGCCCAGGCTTACCGCATACACTACAGCACTGAACCTTCGTACGAGCCCCCCCTGCATTACTACTATCCGGCTGCGTTTCTTGCACTCCCTCCCTATCCACGGCCTTCTGATCCAGTAGATCCTGTGCCTCTTGCACAGTAAGTGACCCTCCAAGCCTCACACGTGTTTTTTTAGCTCTCCGGCGCTTACTTAGTGCCTCATTGGCCTTACGGAGCGAAGAGACCTCTGCACGAAGGAGAGCCACCTGGTACATTATAGCCGTTGTACCTTTAGCAAGCTGGTCTACCGTAGCCAGCATTAAAGTCGGGGAGCTATTTTGATGGTTAGTAATGCGAGTCTTAATAAACGTTGACTGTAAGTTGGCTTCTCGAGGGTTATATAGTGTCTGGGAGACCCAAGGTTATGCAGTGCCGGGCCGTAAGTTTAGAGGTATTAGCGTACGAAGCTTTATATCTAGCTTAAAAAATACCTTCTCTAGATCGTACGGTATAAGGCCAGCACCCGCAAAGCCACCCTATATATTCCTTTCTATTATAGAGGCGAAAAAGGCCTCGCGGAAGGCATAGAGGAACTCGAGCTTACTTATATAATTAATATACATACGTATTAAGTCCTCGATCTAGCGACCGTACGCCTGTTTTAGCGGCCCAAAGCAGCCAATATCGAGTGGCTGGAGGAGGTGGGAGGAGTGTAGAGGTATATAGAGCGTAATAATATTATTTTACTAGTAATAGCGCTCGAATTCGGTCGAGTAGTAGCTTTCGTAGCCGTCGAGGATTAATAACCGGTATTTGCCCTTTATGCGAAACGCTATATAATAGTCGAAGTACTTAATTTAATTTAGGCCTACCGTATTAATAGTCTAGCCATTATTAGTGGTTACGATGCGCTAGGTAGACGGTAGGTTATACTCGGTATACTAATTAGTAAGGTAGTACTGCGCGGCTAAAATAATAAAAGGAGGGATAGCCCAGTCGAGGGTATTAACTCCCTAGATTACCGTTACCTATTCGCGGTTACTAGGCTAGGCTAGTTTCGCCTTATTAAGGCCGTCTAAAGTCGTAACTACTATACCCGCGAAAATAATACTTATTATAAACCTAATCTCATTAAAGTTATAAATATCGTTATCCACGATACTATATTTAGCCTTAGTATTCTATATAAGCGTAAACCACTCGTTAATAACCTTTAGATCCTTATATTTAGCCCTTTAGTAATTATATTTACGCGTAAAGTACGTACGGAACTTTAATTAGCGTTTAATAAAGTTGTGTGCCCAGAGCTTACTAATAGGAGGCGCGTCGCGTACGCGTAACAGTTAGTTAACCATATCTTCCACACCACGCAATTTTAGTGAAAAAGCTCGCGTATATAGCTTAATAATATATTAAACAATAGTATCCTCTTCGGATTAAGTAAGCTTCTTCGATTTGGGCGTGGTATCGCGTCGTGCAGGCCGGCCGGCGCGTCGGTATCTAAGCGTACTGCGATCGACGTTATACATCTTGGCTGCCGCTAATATACTTAGATTTTTATTATTTTGAAGAGCCTTAAGGGCTAAGATTATATGGGCTTCCTTTGAAGTAGATGGCATTTTGGATTGTTGAGAAAATTAGGTTTTGAGGGTGAGGTTAGGCGTTGCGTGAAAAAAGTGGTCGCTCGCTTATATTGGTCGCTCGCTTATAATGTACGTTATTGTAGTTTCCTAGTGTTGTGGTTGTGTAATTGAGGATATTTGTAGTTGGGGTAGGTGGAAGTGTTTCACTCGCTTATCTGTTTCTCTCGCTTATCACGCACGCTATATTTGATGAATGACACAGTTTATTTCCCTACCATCTCACCGCCGCTTACCGCTCTCATTTAAGGCCCTGAAACTGTTAGACACGTGTTCTCTAGATACTTTGAACGGCTCCCACTCAATGGGGTCATCGATAATAAAAGAGTTCTCGGAATCGTCCTATTCTATACCGAATTTTATACTGTAGCTAACCCGAAGATAGATATTGAATAATGTAGGGATATCCTCGACTACGCTATGTATTTGGTCTGCCGTTATCGTCCGGGCAGGAAGGAGCTCTTGAGAGACACTCTCATTCTCTGTCGTATTAGTAACCTAAAGCTTCTCCCGACGATCCTAGCGGTATTAGAGCATAAAGGACTCGGTCGGATTAGGGTATATGTCTAGACTATAAATATATAGAGGGAACGAGCCTTTAATATATTTATTTGGTTCGGCAATATCTTTAAGTATAACGAACTTTAGTTCCTTACGCTTACGTAACGGGCTGCGATATCGGCGCTTTAGGGTGCGAGACCTCTTAGCGTCCAGTGCATCACGAAGTTAGCTACTATACGTATTAACACCTGCCTCCCTTCTTATATCTAATATACCGCCGGAGGGAGCCGTAGGGTCTAGACATATCTTTGGTATATAGTCGCTTTTCTGGCGGCGAGTCGCTGCCGTCGGGGTCGAGACTGGCCTTCCTCCTTTTTAACTCTTTTCGAGTAGGGGTAATCGTGACTTAATGGTTGTCCGTGGCGTTGTTGGAAATAAATTCCCAGGCATCATATTTGGATACCAGCGTACCTGCATCTGCGGACTCCTGATCCTCCAGCTTAAGCTCCAGTGACGGCGTCTGGGTTTTGCTCATGTTGTCATCGGTGACGCCGGTCCTGCTAAGGGGTGGTATTGCGGCATCGACTCTGCCATCACAAACAGACGTATCAAGCCGCTGTTCGAGCCGAGAGCTAATGTGGAGGGATACAGTGTGCCGAAACGCCCGCACAGTGGTTGCGAAGATTGACCGGCCACGACCTCATTGATGCGATCTTCATGCGAAAAAGTCCACAACCTCGCTGGAGTCTTACAGAGAAAGGGCCAGGAAGAATGAGGGACCGTTTTTCCTGTCGAATAATTCGATATTGTTGTACCAGGGAGGTCTGGTGGTCCCCGAGGAGGACGGCATGCGCGCTAGAGTGCTCGACGAAGTGCACGCCAGAAAGACGACTGCCCACCCAGGGAGAAATAAGACGAGGTCTTTGATTAAAACTCATTACTGGTGGCCAGGTATATCCATAGATTCTGACAAATATGTCTCCAATTGCCTGACGTGCCGAGCCTCAAAGGTTCCAAGGGACAAAACGCCAGGTTTCCTACACCCGCTCCCGGTGCCTGAACGAGGATGGAAGGATTTGGCAGTAGACTTCAAGTCAATGCCGAAGGACAAGAATCGATACGACAACCTGATGGTCATCGTTGATCGGTTGAGCAAAGCGACTTGGGCAACACCATGCTTCGTCAATGCCACGGCCCGCGATGCCGCCAAGATGTACTACAACGGTCCTTTCCGTATTTTCCAGTTTCCCGACACCGTTGTATCGGACAGAGGACCCCAATTTGTGTCCGACTTTACCGACGAACTGAGCAAGATCATGGGAGTCACCTGGCGCCTTTCCACGGCTGGTCATTCCCAAACCGCTGGCCAGGTGGAGATCTTAAATCAGATTGTGTGGATGGAGTTTTGAGAGTGATCTTTGTGGGATATGAGAGCGTTTGAGCGGTATTTAGAGCGAATTCGAGGACGAATTCGGGATTTTTGAAGGGGGGTGATGTCACGGCCCTGGCTGAGGACATGTGGGTCTACAGCACAGGCCACGTGAGAGTCACGTGGGTGCTTTCACAGGTCCAAGCTTGCCCATGTCTAAAGCCATGCTTGCAGCCAGGCTTTGTTTGCTTTCCGTTTTTGCCCCTTCAGCTTACTATTTAATCAAATTGGTCAGACTTATCATAGCTTGCCTCGACTACCTACCTCTCCCGTGACAAGTATAACCTTTATACCTTCACTTGTGTCACGGCGGTTGCACCGTGACCGTCGTTGATCCATTGGAGCTTGGCTTGTCCAGAGCACGGGCCAATGCGACTTGAATGACTTCGCATCACGCTGCCGCGAGACCTGTTTGTAGCTCTTTGAGCTATGTCTTCACAATAGAGCCTGCCCGTACCCGACGGAATAGAGCCCAGACTGTAGCTTAGCTGAATATTACTGTCATTAATCCGTCAACCTGTCCTGCCCGTGACAGGTACCCCCTGCTTCCAAAGTGGAGCGGAACTTTTGGTACACTTTTCAACGGATTGTAGCACAATCCGTCTGATAATAATAGGAAGGGACCGAAATTTGTGTCCATAATTTCAATGTTGAAACTGTCTCCTCACGGGCCGGCTTCATCCTTGGCTGCGGCTGCCAACAATGTATCTGGGCTCACTTTGCACAGCTACACCCCAGCTTCAAAATTGGGCAACTGGGACGGTCGATGACAAAAGCACTGCCTCGTTCGGTATTTACCAGTTGCGTAAATGACAAAGAATGTAGCCACTGAAATGCGCATATAATAACGACTCGGTAGCTGCATAATTGTACACTCGTATCACAAAAGCAAAAGTCAAAGTACATTATCCAGATACAGTAGACCATAAAAACGAAACTAAGAAACATGTTCTAGCTACCCCACTTGGTGACGGTGGCCAAAGACGACAGGGTGTCTGGATGTTCTGCACCAAGTCGTCGCTGCCGAGCCTGGGCACAGTCCTTCATTAGTGCTAAGGCGGTCGAGTGTCGACCTTGGCTTTTCCAAGTAAAAGCGAGGTTGGCTATGCTCGACAGCGTATCTGGGTGATCGGCCCCAAGCTTGGTCTTGCGAGTCTCCATCACCTGCACCTCCAGCTTCTCGGCCTCCTCCCACCGGCCCTGGTTCCAAAATGTCGACGCTAGGTTGGCCATGCTCGTCAGCGTAGAAGGGTGATCGGCCCCAAGCTTGGTCTTGCTCGTCTCCATCACCTGCACAAACAGCTTCTCGGCCTCCTCCCACCGGCCCTGGTTCCAAAATGTCGACGCTAGGTTGGCCATGCTCGTCAGCGTATAAGGGTGATCGGCCCCAAGCTTGGTCTTGCTCGTCTCCATCACCTGCACCTCCAGCTTCTCGGCCTCCTCCCACTGGCCCTGGTTCCAAAATGTCGACGCTAGGTTGGCCATGCTCGTCAGCGTATCTGGGTGATCGGCCCCAAGCTTGGTCTTGCGAGTCTCCATCACCTGCACAAACAGCTTCTCGGCCTCCTCCCACCGGCCCTGGTTCCAAAATGTCGACGCTAGGTTGGCCATGCTCGTCAGCGTATCTGGGTGATCGGCCCCAAGCTTGGTCTTGCGAGTCTCCATCACCTGCACAAACAGCTTCTCGGCCTCCTCCCACCGGCCCTGGTTCCAAAATGTCGACGCTAGGTTGGCCATGCTCGTCAGCGTATCTGGGTGATCGGCTCCAAGCTTGGTCTTGCTCGTCTCCATCACCTGCACAAACAGCTTCTCGGCCTCCTCCCACCGGCCCTGGTTCCAAAATGTCGACGCTAGGTTGGGCCATGCTCGTCAGCGTATAAGGGTGATCGGCCCCAAGCTTGGTCTTGCTCGTCTCCATCACCTGCACAAACAGCTTCTCGGCCTCCTCCCACGGGCCCTGGTTCCAAATGTCGACGCTAGGTTGGCCATGCTCGACAGCGTATCTGGGTGATCGGTCTCCAGCCTGTCTTGTAGTCTTCCATCACTGCACAAACAGCTTCTCGGCTCTTCTACCTGGCCCTGGTTCCAGAAATGTCGACGCTAGGTTGACCATGCCTCGTCAGCCGTATCT